CTCTTGGACCATATTGTATGAAATATAAGACCTTTTTCAAGCATAACAGATATGAGGGAATATCAGGGTCTGAAATTTTAATTCTAAATAAACGCTAACATATGTAAACATCCCTAGTATGTAATATTTTGACATATTTAAGACTTTTAAGACATACAATTCTGATTTCAAGTTCAAGTATTGACTTTTTAGACTTTTCAAGACCCTGTGGAAACCCTGGACCTAGATTGATTCCTGTGTCTTCGTGAGTAAATGCAAACAACGTGAGTTGAGGATTGGAACAGTGGCAATTGTACAGTAAATGACACTGTTTCGAGTTGAATTTGAATGTCGGGGGTTACTGACTTGAATGACACCACAGGAGCAGTATGGAGGCAGTTTATGTTTTTTTTCTGTTGTTTTGTGGTCACCATTTACTTCAATAGTATTGGATTGCTGCAACACTTTTTACCCCTAGACTCAAACATTTCAACCACCCCTCCATCGGCATTTTGGTGAGTAGATAATGAGTGAATTTCATTTTAGTGTGAACTATCCCTTTAAGGTCTCACAAGCTCTGCTTGTCAAACTTTCCCTGTGGAGTTTGATCTCTTTCAATGCTATGGAGCAGTTTTGTTAGTGGGTCTTGTGTTACAAGACAATGATGCACATGCATCCCACGTCCATTATGTGCACTGAGGTAAATTTAAATGCACATTCCTGCCAATGGTTTCACACTGTTCCATTAAATTGTGTTGGAAATATGGCCAAAGCTGACAGCAAATGCAAGACTGCTTGCTAGAAAATATGGATGTAGAAAAAGCACAAACCACAAAGATCAGCATCGTGTGTGTTTAATCAGTAAATGAAATGCCTAGAAAGCCTGAATATAAATGGAATTTTTGTTTAAATACTCAGGACACCTTCAAAGCAAGAAATTAATTCATGATACTTTTGGGACATCCATGTTTCTTTGTGTTTCTTGCTATTGTGGTGTCGGTGCTACCTTCAACTTATCACACAGGTTTGAAATATGAGACAAAAAAACACAGATTTAGCTACCGATGGTGTTGTGTGCATTCTTCGGTACACCAAACAAAACATTTTAATTGGTTATCTAATGCACCAGCATCAAAAGGCAGTTCCTCTTTTCCCCGTACCTCGTGGCCCCAAATCCTACAGACACCTGCAATTGCCTAACAATATATTTAAATGTGGCTTGAGCCGTGAAAAGGTCTCTGCCTGGAGCAGCTTGAATAATGTTGAATTATTACAGCGGGGTGCACCTGAAATTTACAATGAGCACTGTCGTTAATGCAAGGTAAAACTGATTTGTCAAGACATCGTCTTTAATGTCAGCTGTCTAATTTGGTTTCAGAATTGTTGGGATGACGGCAGCGCACGCTCGTGCCTCCTTGATTTTGCCTTGGATAGCACGTTTAGACATACAGATTACTCTGAGGAGCTAAACTGGGGATAAGAGTGAATAATAATTATCAGCTGCTCCATGAATATAACAACACTGCACATTCTCTCTCACACACACACACACACACACACAC